ATGACTACACGATATCATTCATCCAAGTCAAAGAACTATGACTTTCTAGTTTGGACTTCTCAACCGGACCAATAAAGGGTTTCAACCATACGTCAGCCCTACCTGAATTTTTCAAAAGACTACCATCAGCATGGACTTCAATGGTAATCTGCTTTATCACTCTACTTCCACTTGAAGAACCAACTTCAGTGCGAGAAATAGTAGTAGTGGGGACTGTAGAGGAAGTCATAATAGCTTGAGGCGGGGCAGAGACAGCAGCAGTAGAAACAAGTAAAGAGCATTCAACTGGGACAGACACGGGGAAAGAGGCAAGAGGTACTTCATCAGACACCAAATCAAAACTTTCACTATCAAACCCACGTGAAAAAAGTTGTTCATGAGAGTCACGAGCTGCCATAGGAGTATCATCGTCAGAACTCACTAAGGTGGCATCAACAGGCTCGGTCACGGGAACAGAACGGGGAGGAGTAACTTCATCATCTGAAATAACGCGCCTTCTAACCCGCGACCTTTTAACCAAGGAACTCCCATCCCGTTCCTCTTCCTTTTCAGAATCTTGGGGTTTGTCAGCTTTCGTTTTCGATGAAGAACTCAGGATTATCTCCTGAGCTCTTGCCAAAGAAAGTCTGGAAGCTGCGATCGATTCAGCACTTACACCACGAATTGGAAACCTTGATAAAAAGAAGGGTCAAATACATTCTAAAGGAAGAATGAACGAAAATAGGAAAAAAAGGTGAAGTATTTACCATGAGTTTTAACCTTCCAACCAAACCTGTTTGAAAGGTATTTCCAAGATCTAACCTCCATCGGAGCAACAGTCAACTATTTCTCTACCCAACCACGGAAATTGGGAATCTCTTCAACAGTTCCCACAGTTGATGAAAAAAGAGAAAGTTAAACAGTCACGGGAAAACAAACCCTTCAAAACAAAAAGGGGGAAAGAGAAAGAGAAGTTTAAAGTAAACTTACGTGCAAATTCTACTTTCAGGGAATGGTATATTTTCTTTACCTTACTAACCCTACCAGTAGGAGCAGAAACAAATTTGGCATACAACCACNGAGTTGTTCAACAAAAGAAGATTCAAGGAGATTTTTATCCTTGCCCACTTGATTGGAAGAAGCTTTTTCAACTGCCAATTCCAATGCCATGACTCTCAACTGTTGCTCTAAGGTACATTTGCTTTCTTCTAAAACTTCCATCTCAAGCTGAAGACTTTCATATTGCTCTTTCCAATTGTGTGCCTCAATTTGGTAGTCATGCACTAATTGCTCTGTATGGGGAACCCTTTTCATCATCTCCGTACCGATGAGATTAATCTAAAAAAAAGGGGTAAGAATCTTAGTAAAAGGAGAATGTAATAAAACATGAAAAGAAATTAATACCTTCAGTGATGACTGCATGATATCATTCATCCAAGTCAAAGAACTATGACTTTCTAGTTTGCACTTCTCAACCGGACCAATCAAGGGTTTCAACCATACGTCAGCCCGACCTGACTTTTTCAAAAGACTACCATCGGCAAGGACTTCAATGGTAATCTGCTTCATCACTCTACTTCTACTTGAAGAACCAACTTCAGTGTGAGAAATAGTAGTAGTGGGGACTGTAGAGGAAGTCATAATAGCTTGAGGCGGGGTAGAGACAGCAGCAATAGAAACGGGTAAAAAGCATTCCATTGGGACAAACACGGGGAAAGAGGCAAGAGGTACTTCATCAGACACCAAATCAAAATTTTCACTATCAAACCCACGTGAAAAAAGTTGTTCATCAGAGTCACGAGCTGCCATAGGAGTATCATCGTCAGAACTCACTAAGGTGGCTTCAACAGGCTCGGTCACGGGAACAGAACGGGGAGGAGGAACTCATCATCTGAAACAATGCGCCTTCTAACCCGCGGCCTTTTGACCAAGGAACTCCCATCCCGTTCCTCTTCCTCTTCAGAACCTTGGGGTTTGTCAGCTTTCCTTTCCGATGAAGAACTCAGGATTATCTCCTGAGCTCATGCCAAAGAAAGTCTGGAAGCTGCGATCGATTCAGCACTTACACCACGAATAGGAAACCCTGATAAAAAGAAGGGTCAAATACATTCTAAAGGAAGAATGAACGAAAAAAAAAGGTAAAGTATTTACCATGAGTTTTAACCTTCCAACCAAACCTGTTTGAAAGGTATTTCCAAGATCTAACCTCCATCGGAGCAACAGTCAATAATTTTTCTACCCAACCACGAAAATTGGGAATCTCTTCAACAGTTTCCACGGTTGCTGAAAAAAGAGAAAGTTAACAGTCACGGGAAAAACAAACCCTTTCAAAACAAAAGGGGGAAAAAGAGAAGAGAGAAAGTTGTAAAAGTAAACTTACGTGCAAAATTCCACTTTTCAGGGAATGGTATATTTTCTTCACCTACTAACCCTACAGTAGGAGCAGCAACAAATCTGGCATACCAGCCACGATCCTTGTCATCCTCAGGACTGACTAAAACCCTCTTACTCCTCACCACCAAAGTAAAGATTCCATGTCGGAACAGCTTAGGGTAGTAGAGGTGGATCAGATGAAAAAAGGTAAAAGGCAATTTAGCCAAGTTAGCTAGGTACCTTAGACAAGCAACAACCCTCCATACAATGGGGTCAATTTGTCCTAAACAAGCATTGAAAAAACGACAGAACTCGATGATAACAGGATCAATGGGGGGCCTAAAATCCAGTGTAAAGGGATATTTATATACGAAAGAAAAGCCAGCCTTGTAAGATGTGATCCTTTGATTTGCATTAGGGATTATAATTGGGAAATCAAATTTTCAGTGGCAATCTCTACGAACAACCGAGATCAAACCTTCAGTAATTTGAGAAGGGTAAACGTCAACACGGTCAAGAGAAGACATAAAAGAAACCCGATTCCTAATTGATTCTCTATCAGTATAAAAAGAAAGTTCGGAGGGGATAATTTCGTCTACTGTTGGTTCACAGACTGGTTCATTGGAATCCCTACTTCTGGTAGAAGATCTATGTGGAAGAGAACCCCTAGTTCTAGAAGAAGGAGGAGGAGTAGAACTAGGTAAAGATGGAGGTGAACCTCGAACGGACGTTGATCCTAAACTACGTAACCTACCTCATCTCCTGCTCCTAGTTGGAGCAAGAGGAAGTTCATCTACAATAAGAACTTTACGAGGGTCAGGGTTTGAAGAAGACATAACTATACGGAGAAGAAAGGAAGATTGAATAAGTCAAAGATGGAAAACTTTTTTATGAAAGAAGAAACAAAGGATATATTTATACTCAGAAGCAACCGTCAAACAAAAAAGGTAATGATGGGAACGTCATAATGAAAACTATTACTTTGTGATTGATGTAGCCGCAAAAAGCCTTAAGAGACGTTGAAGGGTTGCAGACCCAATCAAAAGGCGCCACGTGCCACGAGCATTAAATGGAAGTGACATGCGAAGCGTCAGTTTTGGAGAAGGTATAATGGCGGCAAAAATTCCCGCTTTAATGAGATCCACTTCCCAAATATTCAATTGTTGAATAAATGGCAAGTGGGGGGACTATCTGTATCGGAAAAAATCAGGTTAACATATAGAATTAATTAAGTGCTGACATGTGAAGACATTTGGATCAGTAAAAGAATGAGAGCTAGCAAAGAATAGTTGAAGAGACACGAGCCTTAACAGACACGGGCAGAGATTCAAGAAAACAGGAAGGAAGGGTTACTCGGACCTCTTGGTAATTTGAAGAGACATCGAAGGAATGAACCTAGACAGCAAAAAGTACAGATACATATTATCCGTAATTAATGAGCGTCAATAGTGGAAAACTTTACAGAATCTTCACGAAACAGTTACGATTGCTAATTATAACGTTGCATTAATGACATTAATTACTCATAATAGCTCTGTTATGAGAGGAAAGAAATGTATTACTTAGAAATAGATACAAAAGGAGAGGAATAAACATTTGTAAGGACACAGAATATTATTGGAATTCACTGATTTATCGTTTAAATCAATTCTTCTTATTTGTTCCAAATTAGATTATTAGTAACCCGAGTTCTTCTAAAATTTAGCTTTGACCGAAATCCTTATTTTCTGGTTAAACAATGAGCATGTCTGGTGTCACTTTTTGCGTATCAATTAAGTATATTTTCTTTTGTTTCTTTTTTTTGTCTGATTTATTCTTTCAAAATTTTCACACATTAAAATTCCTATTATTCTTTTGTCATCGTAAAATCTTATATGATTAAACAAAATATGTATATTAAAACTAGTAGCAATGTATGATGTAGCATATAATCAATGGGTTCAACTGATCCCGACATTTTCAACATGGATAATAGATATAGATGGAAGAAAATTATTTTTTTAAAAATTTTAATTTTGAACTTATAATTCAAAAGTATAAAGGGTGCGCAATAGTAAGAACTAAAGGTTGAACATGTAAAATTTATATCCTGGGTCCACCCCTTTTTAATAGTGCACTCATCCTGATCCGCCTCTGAGTGCCCTTTCCACAAGCCCCTCCCATACTGACCGTTGAACCCCGAGCCTGAAACCTCAACCAACAATCTCACATTTCGACCCCCCGAACCCCAACCATTGACCACCGCCCCCATCCTTGAGCCCCTCATCACGACCCTCCCCATCCCCTTACATCCATTCTCTCGAAAAATATTTTCCTTTATGCCAAACACACCCAATATGTTCTCCTCAATAATGATTTTAATTTAGAAGTGATTCAAAAGTGACCTCAAATTTGCAATTAATCCATGTGAAACGAGAGGAAAAAATGTCAAATTTATTTGACGAGTGACAATGACTTAAAAAGACTCCTAAAGCTGGATCTAGAAAATCACCACCACATCCTTAATGATTGAACCAATAGAATATTGAATCAACTCGTAATACCGTGGTCCGTGCCCCCACACGTGACATTATAGAATACTTCACTGCATCCTCTTCCTTTACATGAAGCCCCCTATATATATACCACTTCATTTGCCTCCACATAAACTCACATCTCTACCAACTCTCCTCAAAAGCTCTCTTTCATCAATTCTCTGTCCTTATTTGTTAAGTCAAGAAACAAAAATCCATAAACCAAAACGAAGTCTGCACCTGAAATATACTATATATAGAGAGATGGATCAAAATGTACCAGTAATGGCAAAAAAGTTCTGGAAAATAGTCCGAGTGGCTTTTTTCATGCTGAGGAAAGGCTTATCAAAGAGGAAACTAATGTTTGATCTCAACTTATTAATGAAGCGTGGCAAAATTGCGAGCAAAGCCGCCATTCAAAACCTCATGTTCCACCATAATAATAATACCTATGGCCACCAATGTCCTTCCTCCACCTCATCTTCCAAAGACTACTACGAATTCAGCTGCAGTAACAGCCCTGCTTTTCACCTCCCCTTCAACCTCAACAAACGCAATAAGCACAGTCATCACCATGAACCTGCAACTGACGACGACGTTTTAATGGTGAACGCTGCTGTTTTGAAGGCGTTGGAGATGATTCAGAGTGAAACGGCGTCACCTGCTTTGCCTGGATTTGGGAGAACTCCTACGGTGAGGCAATTAAGGGTTACTGATTCGCCTTTTCCTATAAGAGATGTTGAGAATAATAGTCACGTCGATGAAAAAGCTGATGAATTCATTTCAAGATTCTACAGAGATTTGAGACGAGAAGCTTCTGCTTTTGCTTAATTTTTGAAGCTTTTGAGAATTCATGCATGTGGTTATAGCCTCTGCAAAAAAAACAAGATTATGGGGTATTTGAGAAATTTTTAGAAGAAAGCACAAAAAGAAAATAATGTTAGAATATAAATGTGAGAATACCCTCTTCGGTAATTTGTTTCATGCTATAATCAATACTTTCAAGGCTGGACTCCTGAAATTTTGCATCCACAAAAATTCTCTCTTATTTTAATTGTCGAGTACTTGTTACTACTACATTTCTTTTTTCTTGAACATAAGAAAACAAAGAAGTTAAATTAGAAATTATTACTTACAAATTAAAGTAAAGCATATTGAACAAGCTTAACAAGGTAAACTTTATTCCTTTCTTCGAGCCCAAAAGAAACTGTAATCTTAATAAGAGAGGATTCAACAGTAACTGCTAACCTAGTAACTGCATGGAGTTTGGATTATTTTCTCAGTTCATGCCATCTCTATTGGGAAAGAAAATTTGCTACTAATAAATTTAATTTTCATGTAAAACGAAAAATTCTGGGAACCTCATTTATACAGAATTTTTATTTGGTCCAAATTAACACAACTCAAATCATTGCCAGGATTCTTGCATTATGTCAAGGGGAAATGCCGCAATTGACTAATTAAGGCACAGGGATTCTACTAATATTCCTAAAGAAAAAATGTCTTATGTTCATAAGTGGAAACATGTTATTTAATCTGTATCTTTCTCTTTTAACTTTACTATTTATTTACAGTACTTATTTATTGTATTGGTATGTAAAGCAAATCCTTTGCTTTTTAGGTTGGCCATCTACCTGGAAACCTCCTTTGGCAGAAACAATCAAGCACCTTATTATTTTATTGGTGCACTTGATTGCTTTTTAAATTTTGAGAAATTGTGGGGCTTAATACTAAAGTAAAGCTGTCAATATCTTTTAGGTTTAGACCTGATTTTGAAATATACTGAACCACCTCGTGGCAAATGTCTCCTAACTTGGACAAAGACCAAAATCAGAAATTCGACTGGAAAGAATTTTACATCAAGTAATGCTTAATCAAATCTTAGCGTAACATTTATTACAAACATTAAAGAGAAGTGGGTTTCCCGTTATAGGAAAATTACCAACTATGTCCATTTATAAGTAGTTCATTACAAAAATTGGCCAATTGATAAAATATTACTAATATTAGCCAAATTAGCCAATTAGCTATTTGTAGTAAAAAAATATCAAATTTTGCTTTGTTTTGAGTGGGTGTTATTAGAATAGATTGAGCACAACTTAAAGAGCTTGAATCTCAGTTTTGGGATGATTCGGTGAAGTTTTGAGGGTGGTTTTAATTGAAAATTCGAAATAAAAGCTGAACATGAAAAAAATGATATGTGTATCACACTATGTATCATTTGTGTATCACATGTGTATCATATTTGTATCAATTGTGTATCACATGTATATCCATGTATACATGTGTGTGAGATACATGCGTGATACATGTTTGATACATGTGTCGCAGAAGATTTTTTTGAACTCGATTTAATTACGAATTTCGATGCAAAACCAGTCCAAATCACCTCCAATCTTCCTCAAATTTTGTATATTGACTTATCTATATATTTTCAATGAATTTCGACTATACCCATTGAAAAAGTTTCTTTTTTGTTTAGATTTTTGGAATATTGTATAGATTTTTGTATTTCATCACCTTATTTGCTACCCCGTCCATGAAATTTCCTTTCCGTCTTGTATCTAATGTTTTTAATCACGCTTAAAAATATGGAAGGTGATTTTTGCATGTGATTCTTTGAGAGAAAGAATCCTATTATTTGGTTTTTCAATTTTCGTTGGCTAGTTTTGGTAAGTCTATGACTAATGGCTAGAGGTTGGTAAGTTGAGATTTATTTGGGACATTTGTGTAAGTTTCCCTTTATTTTAGAGATAGGCTTAATCTCTACCTAGTATATTACGTAATTAATAATAATAAAAAACGAATTCCTAGGCAGAAAAGTATATAGTATTAACCTAACCTCTCAAAAAATACTGCAGCACTCTAACTTAATTAAAAACCAAAATTTTAGGTAATACGACCCTTTTCCATGAACACTTCTCAAAATTAGTATTTTAATTATTTTTTCTAAAATTTAAACTTGCTATATGTCATTTATTCAGAACCAAAAATACAAAATTCCGCTAACATGACCCTTAAGGTTAACTAGGTAAAGTAAGATGACTCTTTGGAGACAAGTTGAGCGATTATTCAAATAATTAACTTAATCATTTGATCTACTAAGTCTAGTAAGAACTTGTTTAAATCATTAATTAAGTTTTGCGTTTAAGGAGAATATTGTCCGGATGAAATTGGATAAACTCAAAAGCACATATCAATTATCATGTCAATAATTTGTTAACGAGTTTTAATCAGTGGCCCCTTTTTATTGATTGACATGTAATACCGAAGACGTAATTAGATTACATGAAGCCAAGTTGACAATAGGTTCTCCTTCTGAGGGGGTGACTTGCGCAAGATTAATTGGGCATTCATACGCTATTGAAATTAATTGAGCCAAGTTAGCAGGTTCATAATTCATTAATTAATTTCATCTTTCTTATGTACGTTTTAATTTTAGTAAGAGTTTCGACTTGTTTGAAGGGTCGGTCTATCTACATCTTGAAATTAATAAATATATTAGACACGTCTTATTGAGTTAAAGTTTTATGATGGATGTTTGGCTCAAAAGTTATCGATATACCTTGCAAGCTTAAAAACAATCAAAAGTAAGAAAGGGTAAATCGTAATCAAATATAATAGACCTAGAGATGGAAAATGAAGTTGTTGTTGTAGATCTAATAGTGATAATATGAACTCAAGAGAAAGTATTCGTTAGAGATAGCGATAGAGAGAGAGTATGAGAAAATGAGAGAGTTGTATTATTTCAGAATCCTCCCCCTTTTACAATGTGAAGGTCTCCTTTATATAATAAGAGACCTTCCTCGAAATAATCAAAAAGTTACAAAAATAGGTAACGTTTTCCTAGTGAAGACACTGAGTCCTAAATGATGTCGCTTTTGTCCCCACGTCCAAGTCGTACCCTTACGTTAGTCGGCGTATACTCACTGGGCGTACCCATTGGCGTGGAGACACTGACGGTCAAATTTGACCCTATACAGTTAGTCCCTCCGCTCGTTGGAGACGCATTCGGTAGACGTCTTCAATGGGCGGAAATGCAAACCTCGGCTTAGGAGAATTTGACCTCGACCAGGGGCGGCAACATGAATGAGGTAAAATGTATGATGTTGTTGAGCCTACTGACGCGTGGCTTTCTTTTTGGAATGACGTCATCGCCTGTATGCGTCATTATTATATTTGCCCCCGAGGCGGTTCAGAGGATGACGCGACATTTTGGTTTCCCGCGCACGTTTTGAATCATGACTCTTCGATTTCTGCGCAACTTATCCCTATAAATAGGAGAGAGGTTCGATTCGATTCAACTTTCAAACCTTCGGAAAGCATTTTCTGATTTACTCCTTTGTCTTTCTTTCCTGTAACCGTTATTTCGTGTGGGATTCCTCCACTTCTTTTGGAGTCATATTTCTCGTCGTTAGTGCGTTATTTCCCAAACAGAATCATCGTGGTAAAACGTAGTCAAGGTGGCAAAAAGACCAAGGACACTGACCCATCTAGGGTTCCACCTTCCTCTGGCGGTGAGGGGGAGGAAGTAAAAAAGACCCTCGTTCCCCTTTCTGTAGACAACGTCCTCTCAAAGGACATGCATATTCGAAGGGATTTTCAAACGAAAAGTCCAGCCCTTCCCTGGGAGCGTAGCGATTTACTGCAATCTCATCTAGACGACCTTCGAGTGACACACAACATTTCGGACCATGTGGAAATGGCTCCAGCTGGGATGGACTATGCCAATGTGCACAGGCCTGGGTACTGCACATTTTACGAGTACCCATTTTTTATCGGCTATTGTCTCCCGATCTTCCCTCTAGCGGAGGAGCTTTGCCGCTTTTACAATGTGTGCCCGTCTCAGCTTACTCCTTACACCTTGAAGGTGTGCAGGATTCTGACCACGTACGCGGCTAAGGCTGAGTGCGGCGTCTCAGTTCACCATCTCTTACAGTTATTCAGCCGTGGTTACCTGAGGAGTACCATGTTGCAATTGAAAAGCCGTGGTACGAAGGGTTTGGTAGTTAGGGCTGACGACAAGGCCAACCGCCTCTTCTGGCGTAGGTACTTCTACATCAGGACAGAGCACCTGGTGTCTAAGCCTGAAGGATTCCCGGAAAGGTGGAACCCAGATCGTGAGTACCTTTATTTGCAGGATTCATGACTGTTCGCGACCTTGACCATTTGGCCACTGTGATTTCATTCGTTTCTCTCTTTTTTTTGTAGCGAAGGCTTCTCCACCCCAGTTTATTGATGATATTAAATCATGGGTGGAAAGATTACTACCTTATGCGGAGGAATGCCGTACCTGGGCTGCATTTCTTTAGCAGTACGGCCCGTCAGGTAATTCTTCNGGTAACGTTTTCCTAGTGAAGACACTGAGTCCTAAACGATGTCGCTTTTGTCCCCACGTCCAAGTCGTACCCTTACGTTAGTCGGCGTATACTCACTGGGCGTACCCATTGGCGTAGAGACGCTGACGGTCAAATTTGACCCTAGTGGAGTCTAAGGTGAATGTTGCTAATATTTTAAACTATTTAAGTGATAAACATATAAGTTACAAAATAATTGTATTATATTCATTAGTTTGGTGCAAATATGGATTAATTAATATTTACTTTCATTTGCGTCATGTCATGTAAATTTTTTTTGCTTAACATCTAAAAAAAAAACTACAATAACTTACCAGTACAATAATGTTTTCCTATAATTTATAACTAAGAGAGTTTTAATATGTCGTTATCTCCATAAGTTACCTGCATAATTATATTAATTTTTACACTCTTTAATCTGCTCTTAAAATATTATATCCCATTTTAATGTAATTTTTCATAATTTTTATCTCTATTTATTTATGAAAATAAAATTTCACGGAGCTTATATCATATTCCTTAGTCATTCAAAATTTTAAATGGCGTCTTTAGTAATCGAAATTCTTCCATGCGAAGTTATGCGATATAGCGCACAAGAGAACGGTGTTCCATAAAATAATTCACATCATGAATATGTTATTTCAGAGAACGTTGCGACATTTGTATTTGCCACTC